CTGGCCAGATTAAGGGCGCAAAGCGGCTATCGTGGCACAAGCCGATCGCGCCCGACTCGCAGTCTCAAAAACAAACGCGTTTGTTTTCAGGCAACAAGTCGGGCGATCGACCCGACCAGACCCGACCAGACCCGACCCCCAGTTTAGCTGGTTCAAGGCATCACAAAAAAGTCTACCAAACCTAAAGCAATCCATCGAATTTATTGTCAAAGTTTATGTTCACTGCTGGAATCATTCATTTAATTCTTCTCAGTTTGGTGTTAAGCTTTTAGTAAAGAGTTTTAGTAAAGAGTGTTACGGCACTCGCAACACAATGAGATCATATAAGTGCAGAAGATTATAAATGTTACAAGACAAATGCAAAAAAAAGGAAGAGAGATAAGAACGACAAGTGTTTGATGGAAAAGAAGGAGCAAACTACACACGAACAGAACACCCGCCAACCACTCACATTCGTTTCTATTCAATTTGGTGTTTATTTTATACAAATAGGTTCAATAAGAGCGGGGGTTATGGGGGAGGTTTTGCGATGCTGAAAACTCGAGAGGACAAAACTGGCTGCGTACAAGGGATCGGAGAAATAGCTTTCCTTTATACAAAGAGTCAACCCGACATCGCAAACAGACGAATCGAAGCACCGAGTTCCTTGTCCCAGCAACACCCGTGCCGTGAATCTGCGAGTGAGGTCGAGGTTTGGCGGGGGTCACCGAGTTGGTAGCAGCGTACTGTCAAGCACGCCCGACACGGCTTCGTAACGTCAGCATGACAGGGGGGAAACCAAAGATAGAACACCCTACGTAGGGTATACTATCTTTGGGGAGACCCCGCCCTTGGAGGGGTAAGTACGTGAAGGATCAATTGCGTCACACCGAGGAATTTATATAGCCTTCTTGAGCCACGCCCATTTTCAGGGTACGTCCATGCCGGAGACAATAGTCATAGAGATTAAAATAAATTTTAACCCCTCCCCCCCCCCTTTTTTTTTCGAAAACACCCTCATTCCCCTTTCTTGAGATACATTAAAAGCGTGTTCGTCGCAGTAAGGTGTGGCCACACAAGTGCTGTCTGGATCGTTCCCACCGGGTTACTCTAATGTGACACAACCCAGAGATGAAGGGCCCCAAAAGAAGAGTGGAAAGCCCGGAGAATAGATACCGGTGGTTAGCGCAAGATCTGGACGTGTGGTTTGTTTCTTCTTTCCTATCAAACATCTACCGTCCTGAGCCCTCCTCCTCCCCCTCCTCTTTTTGTGCTTGTTACTTTCTTGCAACGTATCTAATCCTCGGCATTTATATGACCATATTGAGTAGAAAGTACAAAACGTACTCTAAAATTACACTAAACAGGACGATAAACGTATAAGGTGAAGTATTGTTGTTGTTTTTGATTGGGGGGGGGGATCTCTACCTCTACCCTCAGCGCACAGTCTAGTTTGTTTTAGTAAGGTTTTACGGCGCTCGCAACTGCATAAGGTCATATGAGCACAAAGGGGTGGATGTCAACAGAGAAGTCAAAACAGGGAACCAGATTACTCTACTCACCTCTCTAGCCTCAACAGCACAAAGTCTGCTTCGGCTATCAAGGCACCCCGGAAATAGTAGTTCACAAGAGAGTGACAAACATACAGAAGAAGTGGAGGAAAAATTACGATAGTGAGGATGAGGAAACAAAAAGCAGCAGTTCCCCCCATGTTATCCTGGCACAGCATGAACATGACATGGATAAATGAGCCCATTTACAACTGGGGGGGG